ACACCAACAAGAGCTAACAGGATCCGTCAGCTGCTTTCAGGAGTCTTTAGGAGCTAATAGAAGCTATCTGGAGCTCAAAGGAGATAAAGGAGCTTTAGATAAAATGAGCTAAGAGGTGCTATCAGGAGCCATTAGGGGCTAGCATGAGCTATCTGTAGCAAACAACAACTAACAGGGCCCAACAGGAAGTACGAGTTCTCCAGCGACTACAAAAAGCCAACACAGTACACAGAAAGAAGAAGAGCACACATCAGTAAGAAGTCGTCCGGTGTTATATTTTACTTTCAAGACGTTTTTTTATTCAAACAAGAAAGAACTGAGCCGGTGAGGTGAGACGAGTCCACCCGCTCAGGTGTTCGACACTTCGGAGTGTTCAATCCACCGTAAAGCCGCAGCTGGAGACTCTCACCTCACCGGCAGCTTAGCTTATTCTAGTCTGCATGTGAAGACGAGCTCTGGATGCTCCAAACAGAAAATCCACCGTGTTTGTTCTGGCGCCATTTACCCACAATGCATTGCTGTATACAGTAATTCAAACAACATCAACATATAGATCTACAGTCAGATAAAGTAAGCAAAGAAAGAACATTGAAAGGAACTTGTTTCCACGTGTTAACGGTGACACGGTCTCATTGTAAACTGAGCGTCGCCTTAAATGTGCATCAACTTCAACGTAAATCCAAATAAACACGTTTTGTTCAACATCTTCTCACCAACGTCACTCACAACACAAAGAATCCGTAACGTGTTTCCGCTCGTTCGGTGTCGGCGCATTCTCCTGCATGCTCTCATGACAAATGTGCAAAAACACCCAAAAACTGTTCAAACATCGTGACACCAGCGACCAACACAAAAAATCCCATAAATCAACGAGAATATTACAAAATGTGACTTTAAACAGTTTGCTGACGTTTATCAGCCGATTTCTGAGCAGCATTAAAACATCGGCAGCTCGTTGTGCACATTTCCACGAAGTCTTAAATAAAACTGCAGGTTTTATAAGAGGGCTGCAGCAAACATTGATTTCATTAGATATTAAAGTTGTAAAAATGTGTAACTGTTTCGATTTTATTGCTGAATAAAACAAGTTATTTTGTGCTAATTCTACTATTAGGAACACAATGATAGAACAAATGGATTCAGCTGATTATGTGCTATAAATATACTGACAAAAATATAAACACAGCATGTAATAGTTTATTAAATTCTCTCTTTTCTTTTTAACATATGTATTTGTTGTTCCAAATGAGTGGACATCATGAAACAACCAAGCATGCGTCCAGTGTTTGTATCATGTAACGCCACCTAACTATGACAGAGTAGGTGAGGTTGTTGATGTTGCTTCTGGAATGTTAAATCATTCTGCTTTATGTAAATCTGACATTAGAACACCTTATTTTACACTTTTTAAAGTATCTCCTGGTAACATACTTGTGGAAAATTGCTCCACTTATCTTGAAGGGTTTGGCGACGTTGGCAGGCATTTTGGCGCACAGGAGTCCCACAGGTGTTGGTAGGACTGGAACGTTTTCAGCTGCTATAGACGGACGGTGCGTATTCTGGTGACACGAGGACACATGTTGTCCTCTTGAGATGTCAAGTGATGGTAGCCAAAGGAGGGATGCCTACAATTTCATCTCGATGTCGCTGGGCTTTAAGATTGCCATGAATGAAATGCAGACTTGTTCTTTGTCCATGGGCCGACCATCGCTCCTCCACTTCCATAAGCCACTCTCCATACAAACGTTGACATCCTCACGGTGCCCCTATCTATGACGCCAAACGGACCATCTGCTCTGTGCAGCTGAAAATAAGATTCAACAGGCCTCCGTTTGGCTGACGCCCAACTGGAGCCGATTACGACATTGTTCTGCTGTTACTTCAAGACCTTGCTGTGGGCAATGAGATCGCAAACCAGCTTCCTTCCTTCCTTTCCAGGCGATTCCTTGCAGTTTGAGCTGATATTCTTTGGTTGTGCACACCTACAGCTTCATTAATGTCTCTGTAGTTGATTGCAGACAATTTCCGAAGATGGACTAGTGATGATTCAGGGTTCTACTGGCGACGTTTTATCTGCAGTTAGCTGTGTCGTACTGTGCTATCTGAAGCTTTCTTACGGTATGCGTCTGCAGGATCCGTCACCTCAGTGCTTCCCATTCACCGTCTTTGTGAGCCCCCCCCCCCTGCAACGCATTCTGGTAACGCAGTGTTGTTCTCTTCTCGTTTGCATAAGATGAGGTCTAGGCTATTTTATGCAAATGAGGAGCATCAAGCATGATCCGACGCCTCTGGAAACCGCTAGTAAACTTTTACACTAAGCAGTAGTGATCCATCTCAGCAACTGCACAGCTTGTCTCTGCCTGAACTGTTTTCAGATACATTTTGCTGAACTGTTCATAGGATAAAAGAGGAGGTTTCCAAAAGAACCGCCACGGTGGTTCGGTTTGAAATCCAGGAACAGACAGGATCCGAGTGAGGCATCGTCCAAATTAGGTGCAGACAATGTTTTCACGGTTGTAGGGAGGGGACTACTGTTAACTCTTGTTCTGGTCCTGTCGTAAAATGCCGTAAGGGGCCATTAGATGACAAATGCTGGCGTTGTGGACATTCAGGTGCCTTGTTACTGCAGCATCCAACAGATCGTTCTAGTCTTCGTCCTGTCATCTGTGGCATTATGTCATTTGAATAAAGCTGGATTTTGTTGTGGCCTTTCTTAGTCACTGCTCAAAGGAGCGTCTAAACTGTCGACTAACTCAGTGGTCGAGAGTTTGTCATCAGTTGAGCAGCTCCGAACCTTTTTGTGAACAATTAGTTAAATCGAATCTTTTTTCTAACCACAGCAATACCAGTAAAACTTTTTCTCTGAGTCAGAAAGGGCGACCATCTGCATGCTGCGTTTATATTTTTGTCCAGTGCATTTCTTGCGTTTCTGTAATGAACTCCTGTTAAAGCTGGATCAGTGACACAACTGCAGCTTCATCTTTAACCGGCTGACACATGGAGCCACATGTCAGCGGAGGAAAGACAATGATTTCAACGTAATGTAAACTTTGAACTACATCAAGAGAAAGTTATCCATCAATGAAACATGTTTCATCACCTACTTTTGTTCTCGACATGTGAATTCATTTATGTCTATGTGACGTGTCGATTTCAAAATGAACAAACATAAACGAACGTACGCATTTTGCTGTCGGCTCCTCAGCAACGTGTTGAATTTGTTATTCGTGTTTACGATGCATAAATTTCACCACCTGCTTTATGCCGGCAACAAATGTCATTCTGTGTCCACAAAAAGTCGCTATGTAGTACATAAAGTCGCGTGTATGTCAGTTTGTAAACTTGATCACATATATCTGAGACCGGGGCTGCACAATTAATCAAATATTAATCACAAGTTTGGCTTTTCACAAGTAAGTTCTAATGCTCGTAGAAAACTTTTCACGTAGATAAAACCGCTCCGCTTCAGGTAAATCCTTCTAAAGTCATATCTGGTCACACATCTGTCTGACGTGCTGCAGTAACTGAGTGGAGCGTATCGATAAGCAGATGTTCAGAAAGTGATGCATTTTGGGTACAATTCTATTTATATTTTTATGTGATGAATTTAGATGAAGATTATTTTGATACCTTGAAGCAGGAGTTTAGCACAACATGAAGTGAAAGCAGCGCTCTGTTTATTCAGAAGTGAAAGTGCAATAAAAGTATTTTGTCCCAAGCATCTATGAGTAATTGTGATAAATAATCATGATCCCGATTATTGATCAATATAATCGTGCAGCCCTCACTGAGACTTTGTCTGCAAGATGTGGTTTAATCAGCTACTTGTGTCTCATACGTTTGACCTCGTGTTCATGTAACTGTATGTTTATATATTTAATTGACATTTGCTGGTATTAATTCTATATAAAAAAAAAAAAACATTTTAAGGGTTACGCATCACAAAAAAATTATTTCTATTAGGATTTTTTAAAAATCCAGTGCATTGTTGGTGGATGTTTAAATATCCAGCATCTGTTCGGTAGAAACTGTGCAAATTAAACCTTCATGATTGCAGTTTTGTGCTAACATGCTTCTTCAAAGTTTTACCGAAGTCGAGTTAATGCAAAGAAAACAAAAGCAGTCCATAGTGCACAGAGAGTCTTGTTTCACCCACAACAAGTAAAAACTTTCGCTGAGTTCATTATTGCTTCTTCCGTCTTCATGGTGATCAACATTAAACTCCCTGATTTTGGCTGAAGCTTCACAAAACTCACTGCAAAAATCCTTTGAGGTTAAAAATACCACCAGTGAGCTGGACGGACGTTTTACACGCAAGGCTACAACTAAAGCAGGGACGGACGGTCACACGAGAAGACTTAAATACAGATCAGCAGATAAATCAGTGAGGATATTAGAAGTCCGTCTGAATCAAAAAGAAGAAACTCACAGCAAACTCCCCCCTCAGTAGGAAACATAGTGCTCTTCAGTGACCGCGTGTTTGTGTCGTATTCAAAAAGTTTTCTCCGTATAAACGTTGACATCTTCACATGAAAAAATCTTTCAAAGCTTCATCCAAAAACGCGTCTTTGACACCAACAGAGAGGCGATTCGCTTCACTTTCAGCAGAAAGAGGAAAACGTGCAGCACCGTTAGAGAAGGTGAAGGGAGGCCTCTCCATTAAAACTGTGTTTGCTCTGATTAAATGTGGCTCAGCTGGCACTCAGGGAGACTCTGTGGATAAAAGGGCAGCAGGAGTGAGAGGGCGTCTGGCTGTAGTGCACTGTGGAGGATTAAAGTCATTAAACCTCCTGGGAAGAACTGTATCACTGCTTTCAATGTAATCCAGGCTGGCTGCAGTGCTCACCGTCACCGGATTAAAAGATGGAAATCAGTTCAGAAGTAGAATTAAAAAGTCCCAAATTTAACAAACCCGTCTCTGTAAGCATGCTGCAAAACGCTGCTACTTCCGCTGAGGAAATTCAAAAATGAATAAATATCTGTAAGAAAAAAAATCCCCGTCAAGGCGTCTCTGATTCGTCGTCATCCTCCGGTGATGTCGGCGAGGTGGGCGTGTCGTCCTCCTCCGCTGCCGAGGTCGCAGCTGGCAGTCCGGCCGCTGCAGCAGACGACGTCATCTTCTCGTAGGTTCGCCTTCGCTGTCGCCGCAGCGTCTGACTCTGCAGCTCCTTCACCTCCTGCAGCACCTCCTGCGCCTCCTTCCAGGATGACACGGCCTCCTCCAGCAGGCGCTCGGCCTCGGCTCGCGTCCTCTCCACCTCCTCGTCCTCCTCTGACAGCTGGGTGGTGGGTAGCGGCGGGGACAGGCGGTGTTTGTCGGGGGTTTTGGGTTGCGAGGACTCGAAGGATCCGGACGGACTCGTGGAGTTCTGGCTCTGACAGGGAGACTCCTTCCTGCTGCCTGGACGAGGGGAGTCGGCTTCGCTGCCTCGCGGTGAATCGGATCCTTTGACCTGAGGGGAGTCGGCGCCTCTGACGGACGGCGGAGACTCGGGCGACTTCTGCACCGGAGAGTCTTCCAGCTTGTTGGAGGAGACGCTGGACGACGCCTTCAGTTTGGGAGCGTCTGAACTCTTGGATCGAGGAGAGTCGGCCAGTCGAGGCGAATCCTTCAGTCGAGGAGAGTCGCTGCCTTTAGCGGCGGGAGAATGAGATCCTTTGGAGCGAGGAGAGTCGGTCCCTTTGGAGCGATTCTTCTTGGCTTTGGACCGAGGAGACTCTCGACCTCTGAGGCGAGGAGAGTCTTTACCTCGGAGTCGAGGGGAGTCGCTGCTTCTGCTCCTCGAAGATCCTGAAGACCTGCTGAGGACGACAAGGATCAGTTAAACACAGAGTTCAGCTTCACAGGGAAACCTGTAAAATCCAGCTTGTTAACTTGTTCTACAGAACTCTCACCTTTCAGGGTTTCCTTCTCTACAAACATCCTTGAAACCACACAACAGTCTTACCGATGGTGACGTACTTTGAAATAAAAAAAGCTGCAGATATTCAAGGCCTCAACATCGTTAGTCTGATGATCTAAGAGACTCAACCACAGAACTTTAACTCCCTGAAAAACATCAATAAAACCAGAAGTCTTTGTGGACGGCGCGTCTGAGAATGCGCTGCTGTCTACATGTGCGATTTATTACATCAAGTCCTCAGAGACACCAGAAGAATCTCCCCTGACAACTTTGTACTAACTTGTTTCTTTATGCATTTTCTTGAACTGAAACCCTTTAATCCTGTAGAGAACGCAGCAGTTTGACACCAACCACTGCAGTGAACATCTGGTTTATAGTTCAAGCACACGATGTTCATCCGCTGAACCCTAAAACCCGCCAGCAGGTCTGAAAGGCTTCATGTCTTTTAAAAGAAACACAATTTATCCTGAAGAAACTGTAAAGACAGAAAAAATCAGAACCATTCTTAAACTAATCATCTGTCTTGTTCTGTTCAATCAGGAAAACTTTACCGAATTAAGCTTCAAATTGCACTTTTTCTACCAACCAAAGAAAAGAGAGCTGGAGGAATAACATGCTTCATACTATGCAATTTTATAATTCTACTAATAAAGTTAGTAAATAAATAAAAACATGCAGACCTTAAGAAATAGCAATTAATTTATTTAGTTTCATGAAATATGCTTCTGTATTTCCACCAGGCAGACCTGTGGACGCGGGTCTGACGCCTCTTACATCGTTTATATGGAGCACTTTTATTTTATTTTACCATTTTATTGGAATTATTTTACTTGGCTTTACTCATTGTAACTCTCAGTTTATTTGTTTTAACCTTGTATTGAAGTTTCTGTAGATTTCCTCTTTGAAGGTATTTTGTGATCCAACACATTAAAGAAAACTTTTTTTCTTTTTAATCCACAGATTATTTTTCTGCATTTCTGAAATATGATAAAATATAAAAACGAAGATTACAAAAAACAGTGAATTTACACGTCTAATGTAACCCTCTGCCCCCCCATTTTTTAAATATAAAAATTCACAAATTTATTTTAATTTCACAAATATTTCCTTTTATTTAATAGATGAAACAGTTGAATTCAATGAATTACTGCTGTGAAGAAATTTTTGGAAGTTTGATACAATTAGTGACAAATAACCAAAAAAAATAAATGTTGGTTGTGGAATTTATTTATTTATTTTACATTATTGTTTTTAAATGGGAGATTTTTTTGTATAATTACAGAAGTTTTTACAACAAACATGTTGAATTAATCAGCGTTTTTATCTAAAAGCACTGGTGACGAGTTAAAATACAGGTTTTATTGTTATATATAATTTATTAATATATTTATCTGTCCATCTATCTTTATCATTACATGTACATTATGATGTATTTTAGGTAATTTAATAGTTTTTACATGTGATTATCCTTCATTAAGCATTTAAAGCCATAAAAACACACATGACCACATGTAGAGAATGTGTTTTAATTGTGGAAACTTTCTGTCTTTTTGATATTTTTTTATCATTTGACAGTAGAGCTGCCCAAATATAATTTTTAAAAAAACATTTCTCTAACAGTGTAAGTATGAGTGCGACCAACCTGGAGTGAGGAGAGTCGGAGCCCCTGAGGTGATGGAGTCGAGGGGAGTCGATGCCCTTCAGGTACGGTGAGCTGCCTCCTCGCTCCCTCTCTGCTTTGGCCTTCTGCAGCTCCTGTCGATCACAACGTCACATCTTAACCTCCACCTTCTTTAAAGTACACATTGTTATCTCTGCACACACATGATGGATAAAGTGAGTGGATGCAGCAGTCGGACCTGCAGCCTCATCTCCTCCAGCAGCTCCTGAGCTCTCTGCATCCTCTGGGCGATGAGGCTCTGCAGCTGACCGACCGGCTGGGACGAAGCTCCGCCTCCCGCCTCCTCCTCGGTCGGACAGCGCTTCAGAGCCGAGCGCAACTCCGACCGGATCAACACCGGCCTGGAGGGAGGGACGAGGAAGAGGCCGCAGAAGAATGACAAAGCGCAGACAGTAAGGTCAAAGGAACACAAAGGGGCTTTTTAAAGGTGCTGGTTGGGTTTTTGCTCAGGTTATGGAGCTGTTTCTGTTTTCTGTGTTTCAGTACCTGGAGGAGAGAACTTCATCCATGGAGGCGCAGCGGCTGCGACCCTGCATGCTGAACCTCTTCCCCGGCTGCGGCGTCCGAGATTGAGCCTGGAGGACCTGAGAGCAAAGACTCAGTTCAGGTTTGTTAGTTCATTTACTGGTTCGATCCTCTGAACCCCAGAAACCCTCCACAGGTGTGAAAGGCGTGTTTCATTTTTAAAAGTCACCAAAATTTACACTATTCATCAGAAACGATTAAAACAAACTCAACTACTCATCTGAGACGTGCCGTTTTATAGCAAAAAACAAAGAAATCTAAGCTTGAATTTGTATTTCGGCTGTAACTGGGGATCAACCGATTATCAGCCTAACACATTATTGAGTTCAAAATGTGGGATTTTTAGATGACCAGTATTGTTAGTTTTTATTGACCAGGTATTGCAAAATATATGGAATGTGCCACTTTGGCTCTGATGCAGCCGGCTTTTTCCCTCTCTGGTCTCCAGCAATGTCCCACCCACAGCTCTATCTGATTGGCTCTTGCACAGCAGGAGCAGCAGCCAATCACTGGAAGCTATTGTTTACACAGAGAGACAGAGAGCACATCTGCAGAGCGGTGAATTAGCAGAAATTACCATTTTTTGGGAAAGTCACTCGTTTCATTTGCAGTGTGTTACACCATAAATACATGGAGAGCGAATTAGAACAAAGGATGTGAACATGAGAGCGAACTGACTGCTGATCTATGAGGATGGAGAAGCCTCACCTGCACCTGCTGCGTCTTGTGGACCTTGGAGGCCTCCAGATGGGACTGCTTCCCCCAGGATCGCTCGCTCCCCCGGGGCAGACTGCCCGTCTTCACCTTGGGCTCCTTGGAGGTCACCCTGAGCTTCGACACGTCGGTCCCGGCTCGCTGTCGGCCTCCGACCCCCCGACACCCGGCGTCCGTCTGCAGGTCGACCCGGAAGCTGTTCTCCCAGGACTCCTGCGAGTCGGCGTCGTAGTCGGGGCAGAAGCCGTCCTCCTCGGCCACCAGGTCGAGGGTCAGCATGCCGTGAGAGGAGGTGGACGCCTGAGGAGACGGATCAGCGGCAATTTTACTAAAGATAACGTTGATTCAGAACGACAGAAAGACAGGATATGGTTTCCTCTTTACCACGGCCATCAGGTGTCCTCTGGTCGGCAGCCGGCGGCCGTGAGGGATCTTAGCTCGGTCTCTGGTGGGATGAACCAGCGTGCTGTCCTCCTCAATGGTCACCTGGACGGAAACACATGAACTGACTGTTGAATTTTATAACAGAATTCATTGAATCTAATGTAGACTGTCCAGTTTGTGAACAACCACAAGTTTTCCTTCAACCACACTCATCATTTTTCTAAAAGTTTACCACAAACACAAAAAGGCCACACCTCATCTAACACTCTGTTCTTGGCCTTGATGATGGCCACATTGAGGGCGTTGACCCATGACTCCTTTTCCTCGGGACTCACCGCCAGGAACACGAGGTTGGGAACCTGCGAAGAAACACATTTTTACCACACTGGATGTCTTATTAAACGTACTTTGCAATGATTTGAAAGGAAACCGCAGAGAAGAGTGAAGCCGACATCACTGATCACCGTCCTCCACCAAGGAAGATTTTCAGCTCAGCAGCGTTTAGCAGCATCACATCCCAAAAACACAAAAGAAGTTTCGTCCAGTTTACAAAAAGTGTGTACGCCAAAACCAGAAACACATCAAACATGTTTAACTTTCTCTTTGAGAGCGTTAGCCTCCTTGCTGATCAAGACATGTGTGCCGTTTATAACTTCAATGCCTGACGTTTAGATGTTGCTCAAAAAACTCTCAGTTTCTAACGTGAAACCATCAGTCGTGTTCATCATCAGGGCTGTCGCTCCATTTTAATATCCAAATATCATTTCCTCTCGAGAATCTGAATATTTTTCTTATTTGCATCAATGCATTTACATCTACAAGTGTTATTCGTGCAATAACAGAACTGATCTACTCACTAACGAAAAAAAAAAAAAAGCCAACAGACTGTCAACCTAATAATGGAAAAGACACAGTTCTCTATAATTCTGAGTCTATTAGTTACTATGGAGCCTTTATTTAGGTCAGTTCAGAGATATGTAGGTTTTGGGGGCTTTTAGGAATTTCAGTGTTTCCTGACCGTCATTTAAATGCAAATAATATTAATTTGAGAAAAAAACAGAAATCAGACAGTGTCGTGGATCTGAGTTACAGGCCTTTATGTTCTGTGTTTCATTACTGTGCTTTGGTTCATCACAGAGCTTCACTTTCTTCTTTGAATTTATTTGAAACTTTGCTTCATCCAAATTACCAAAAATCACAGAAAATAAAACAACATACAAACGAGAACCTTAGTGGTTTGTGGCTGTTTAGACAGTTTGAGTCAAGAATTTAGTTTTTCAGTTTTAAATAAATTTAGAAAATTCCATCCACATTCACTGAACAATGATTCAAGGATTCAAGGCCTTCATTGGTCACAAACAGTTATACATGGTACAACGTGCAATGACATGCGTTGTGTACCTGTTCCACACCGAAGCAATATTAAAAAGATGAATAAGAACAAAGAAGAAAACACACAAGAAATATATGAAAAGTATGAGCATATGTGCGCCAAAAATAAAACTCACAACAAACCTTTAACGCAGAAAGAAATCAGGAGGCAGTGTTTAGGTAAAAGCTCTATGTGACACTTTGAAACTAAAAACAGAGCAAACATTTGAGTTAATACCACAGAAAGTTCAAGCATCTTAAACTGAAAATCCTCTACGAACGCTCTTTGGTCTTTGGTTTCCGACTGAAGAAATAATCTCCGTTTCTACAGCTGTGATCTGTGAGATACGACCTGACATCAATTTATCCTGAGTTGAGCTTTTAATTTTTGCTGAAGTGATTTAGTCTGTGTTCTCAAATCATTATTTAGTCACATGAATATGCTTTTCTGCTGACTGTGTGCTCTCGCGTTATTTACAGCTTTTAGTTCGGTGTTATTTTCACTTCAGAAACTTAAATTCAGTTCTGAATATCCACTGCATGCTGATGTTAACTCCGTGTTTTTAGTCTGACAGTTATTTTGCTGAAAACAGAGCGACTTTCCCTGCAGCAGGTTTCGATACTAACGAACAGCTGCTGACTGTCACGATTCATTCCCATCATCTCTGACAGCCGGCGCTCTGCAGTTCAAACTCTGCATCTTCTACGAACTCTGCTTCGTTTCCGAGCCGAGCAGAGAGCGAGAGGGCGAGCGAGGTAGACGGACATGTGAAAGTGTTTCAGGGATTACTGCTGTAACTCGTCCTCTGACGGACTAATGGGATTCTGCAGATTAAACCTTTTCAGAGGAGGGAGAAAAAAAAAACACAAGGCTCAGCCAATCAGGGCAGCCGGGGCAGAGTGGGGAGGAGGGGGGAGTCATACAAAATCCTATCAACCAATCCTGAGGAAGGTGGAGGAGGAGTTCCACCAATGAGGCGGCAGCGTGAGTCAAGCAGGACGATGTAATCTCTGAGCGCAGAGGACGGAGGAGACGAATAAAGACACTCAGAGGACGGACGGAGTTCAGTTTCACATCTGGACTAACTGCCGCGAACGCAGCGAGAAAGAACTGACAGTAAAACACAACAACGACAACACCAGGGTCTGACAGCGGCACCTTCATAATCGTTTTATAGACCAAGATGGGACCAGTGAAAATCTGAGGATGTCACACAAAAAAACAAAAGTCATATCTGAATTTTAGAAATTCTTCATTCTGTTGGAGCTGTTTGAAAACTACCAAAGTTAACAAATGACCTACTTTAGTTTCTTATTATACTGTTCATGCTACGAATCATCTGATGTTTGTGGACTAATAAGGGTAGAGTTAGTGTTTCTGATAGTCAGGTGACCATAGTTTATGGTAACTCAGGAGAAAAGAGGCTGCAGAGTATTAGAGGAGGACCATTTTTATTTTCTTTGCATCCAGAGTTTATTTCAATATTCGACATTCTGCTCATCAAACTACAG